ACTATTGGGATAGGAGGAATGATCAAGAATGAATGAATCTTTGCTTCTAGGGAATTACAACAAAACCCAATTGAAGAATAAAGGCATTGCATGATAGAAACCCGCTAGGACGAAAACCCATAAAGGGCGTCCTAGGAAAAAATTAGGGTAAAAGAATCAAAATCCTGATAGGATACATCCTATGCAAAAGTCAGGGATATATATATAAAAAAAGCAATGTCTACTCGAGTTGAAAACCGAAAGGCAGCTTGAGTATTCCCTTTGAGAAGCAAGAATCTATAAATGTCTCACTCTAAATTCAAAACACCCACATTCAAGTAAGTGGGAATGTGTTCCTAAAGTAGTACGACCAATCATCAACCATGACTCTCTAGGGGGAAACCTCCGTCTATCTCTCCGTGTACGAATCACGAACTCGGGGCATGCCCGGGCCTCTGAGCTTTGCTAAAGGGGCACGTGTAAATTGGAAGTACTGTTTTAAATACTCTTTCATTTCTTTTCTCCCTTTTAATATTCACTCTAGGCCTCGTCCATCAACCCTTAATAAAAAAAATGTATTTGCGACAAAGATGTTACTCGATAATAGCATGGAAAGGATAACAAAGGAACAATTAAGAATCCAAACATAACTAGGGTTCAATAAAAATAAGGGCGTCCCACACAAATGTTGCAAAAATGAAGGCCCGACAGGAAACCCACTAAGGGGATTGCACAAAATTAGGGCAAGATCCGTTATGGGGCCCATAATCAGAAAGGGTAACCTAGGCAAAAGTAAGCATCAAAAGAAAAATGTCTGCTAGGAAACACATCTCGAGTGACCTAGGCAAAAGTTAAGACGTTAAAGTAGCAACTTAAGTTGAAAACTGAAAGGCAGGTCGGGGAATCATTCAATCAGAGCACGACCCCAAGTCATCACTCCACTTTCCAAAAAAGGCTAAAACACAATGATAGCTTCCTTGCAGCAATATATGTTTTGTTTAATAACCCTAAACACCAAAGCCTACCTAGGCCAACCATTCTTCTAAAAAACTCTTTTTGAAAAATCCCTTCTAACAACCCCTTTTGAAAAAAACAAAATAATAATAATAACATTCCTTCCTTCTTTTCTCTTGACCCTTATGGCATTAAAATGGTACCAAAAAGATACGCGGAAAATGCACAGTGAATACTCATAGAGGGAAGATCGAGATGTCCCCAAACAGAGCTGGGAGACGCTTGACTACATATCGACTGGATAATCAATGAGCCACTAAAAGCTTGGGATCAAAGGAACACATCCTGACAATAATCAAAAATGACATGGATAAAAAGGAATCTTCATCATTAACCTTAAAGCGTACAGGTTAATTTCCCGACATAAAAAAAATAATTACATTTTTTAGGAACAAACACATGAGCATAAATTGCATCGCATGCATATGAGGTAGGGGCATATGGAAGGGCGTTACACAAAAAATAATAATAATATCATTATTGTCTTGCATTTTCATTGCATCCATGCATTGTACTTGCTATGGGTCAGAGGAGTCATCAGGACAAAGCACTCGTAAAAGCTCAAAAGCCAAGCATGAGTCGAAGCGGTGACAAACAACAACCCAAGTGATTTTATGTGCCCACTAAGCAAAGACATATCAACAATGGAATAGAATGGAATCAACCAAATAAGAAAACCCATAAGCATGAAGAGGCCATCGCGCCCTACTCCTCAACCGAATGATGGAAGATTCATGAAAAGGCCAAGACCAAGAATGTTTTCCTACCAAAGCCAGGAATGGCTTCCAAAATAATACTCATCAATAAAGATTCAGCAGATAACATCGTCATGGAATAGATCCCTCCACCAATGATGATAATAAAGAGAAAAAGCAATGACATGAGAAAAAGGCAAGCTTTGTAAATGTTGAAAAAGTCGAAGCATTTAGAAAAATAGCAAAAAAGGCAAGCTTCAAATGTTAAAAAGCCGAAGCTAAACAAAAATGACATTCAAAAAAAAAAAAAAACTTACCATATGAGACGCCTGGAGAGGCATCACAATACTCAAGTGGCAGGGGCAACATTGGAATACCTGCCAGCCATCCACTTCTCTGCCCACCAACTCAGGGGCACATCAAACATCTTCCTGCCCATCCACCTGGGGACAGTCTTTCATCTCACAACACCAACAAGAAGACATCAAGTACAAGCACGGAAAGGGTTGCTAGATCCCCAAAACTAGTACAGGATCAAAGAGGGTTACCTGACCTTAGAGGAGGCTGGCTGAAGCCTTAAAATATCAGTCCAGCTTGGAGAGGCTGAGCTACAAAACTACTTTAACAACAAAGAGGGTTACCTGACCTTAGAGGAGGCTGGCTAAAGCCTTAAAATATCAGTCCAACTTGGAGTGGCTGAGCTACGAAACTACTTCAACAACAAAGAGAGTTACTTGACCTTAGAGGAGGCCGGCTGAAGCCGTAAAACATCATTCCAGCTTGGAGAGGCTGAGCTATGAAACTACTTCAACAACAAAGAGGGTTATCTGACCTTAAAGGAGGCCAGCTGAAGCCTTAAAATATCAGTCCAACTTGGAGAGGCTGAGCTACGAAACTACTTCAACAACAAAGAGGGTTATCTGACCTTAAAGGAGGCCAGCTGAAGCCTTAAAATATCAGTCCAGCTTGGAGAGGCTAAGCTACGCAACTACTTCAACAAAAAAAAGGGTTACCTGACCTTAGAGTGGGTCGGCTGAAGCCTTAAAATATCAATCCATCTTGGAGAGGCTCAACTACGAAACTACTTCAACAACAATGAGGGTTATCTGACCTAAGAGTGGGCTGACTGAAGCCCTAAATATCAGTCCAGCCTGGAGAGGCTGAGCTACGAAAATACTCAATCTTCAACAAGCTACAAATAAAGGAACACATTATCACAAGAGAGACAATGGAGCTTCTACTCGAAGACTGAAGATCAGGTGTACAGTTTGTCAGTCTTGTTACCCAATAGAGTACACAACTGTTCTAAAGGGTGAGGATACGAACAAATACACCTATCTAAGGGAAACAACGCAGAAGTGCCAACACCAAAGAGACGAAGAGAAGACCCGAACGAAATGTCTACGTCTTTACTTGCCTTTGGAAAAGAAACACATTACTATTCCAAAGGACAAGCAAAGAGGGGCAGCTGTAGACACCCAATTTCGTCCGGGGGCATATAAACAAGGAAATGGACCTCTGTTATGAAGGGAAGGAGCTCCCAAAGCATGCAAACAATAGGACAGGACATCAGAAGGCCTAAAGCCCAAATAAATTGGTTTTAGTGGCCCGGAACGGGCTGTTCCAAAATAGGAACGGGCCGTTCCAAGCCACTAAAAAAGGCCTAAAAACCTAGTCTGGAACGGGCTGTTCCAAACCAGGAAAAAGGCCTAAAAATCTTAGGCTGGAATAGCCCGTTCCAAAACCAGAACGGGCTATTCCTAAATTAGAACGGGGCGTTCTAAGATTGGAACGGGCCGTTCCAAGTTATTAAAAAGGCCTAAAAATCTTAGGCTGGAATAGCCCGTTCCAAAACCAGAACGGGCTATTCCTAAATTAGAACGGGGCGTTCTAAGATTGGAACGGGCCGTTCCAAATTCCTCAACAAAGGGCTGAAACCTAAAATGGAACGGGCCGTTCCAAGTTATTAAAAAGGCCTAAAAATCATTCTTTGGAACGATCGTTCCAACCTAACCAAGATTGTGTTAATCTCATCACTGGAACGGGCCGTTCTAGTTTCAGAACGGGCCGTTCTAGTTTCAGAACGGGCCGTTCTAGTTACAAAATTAACACGAAACGGTCATATCCAGAATGGGCCATTCCGATTTTGGAACGGGGCGTTCTGGACACTTTCTGAAGTCTGTAAATAGACAGCTTGGGCACAGTTCTCCGGGCTCCAAATTTCGCCTAGACTCCTTAGAGCTCAAAATTTCTCTATTTTTTTCTCTCTCTTTTTTGTTTTTCTTGAGATTTTGTGAGGCATATTGTAGTGTGAAAGGTTGCCACAAGGCACCTAAAATCTTCCTATTTTGAAGATTCAATAGATCTCATTCAATAGGTATTTCAGTTAATCTCTTTCTCTCTTTTTGTATTTCTTATCTCTAATAAATACTATTATGATAAAAATAATCATGTACACATTTTAGGGTTAATTGTATAATTTAAATTTCAAGCATGTAAATAGTTATTAATAAAAAGGGATTTAATATTTCTATTATTATCATTCATAATGCTAAATTCATCATAGGGTACCGATTAAGGATGTTGTATGGGTGCTTAATACCTTCCACCAACCCCCGAACTCAATTCTGGTTATCAAGGCCATTATTGAACTTTTAAAAACCTTTTCTTTTTCCAATGTTTTAAGTAAAATATTGGTGGCGACTCCATGAACTCATTTTTTAAAACCATTAATTAAGGATTAGTCTGGTGTCCGGACATTCCTTAATTAATGAGTCTTTTAAAAGGATGTCTAAACCATAGGTCGCAAGATCGAAAATTTTTGGGTTACGCAGTAGCCAATAGCAAGGAAGATATAGATTTAAATGAGAGGTCTAAATTATGATTCACAATTTCTATTCATTCTATCATGTTTCTTCTCAAGAGCCTTAATTAATTAGATTTTAATTCTTGTGTCAACAATTTTTTTTAATTCTCTTAAGAAAGTGGGTTAAGACCTAATTAATATAATTTATTCTTACAAAAAAAATTAAGAAAATTTCAATATTTCTTTTCTAAAACAATTATAATTGCATGAGTTGAAAATTGACAATAACTTGTGTGACATTGGATATTCTTATCTCAATTATACTTTAGAAAAGAAAAATGAGAAATGTCTTTCTACTGGCTATGACAAAGATGAGAAATCCATTTATATGTTGAAAGAAAGAGCAAGTGAGCCTTCACTTCTATTTCACAATCACAAATACAAAGAAAAATGTTATAGGAACTTGTCTAGTTATGGAAACACTCAAAGCCCTTTGAACTTTTCTTATGAGTTTAAAACCACAAATCCTATCAAAGTTGACATTCATCCCTTCCATCATGAGCAATCCTCATGCAGATGAAAGAGAGAAGTGTCAAAAGAAGAGAAAATCCACCATATGTGAGTCCTCTAGCCTTAGGACACCAAGGAGAAGATATTGCAACAACAAAAATGAAGAAGAGATGAACACGGAAGTTTCAACAACATTGAAGTTTTACGATGACCCATGGAAGATCAAGAAGACAATAACTGATAGTGATTTGGTAATCTTAAGTAGACTCTTGTTGGCTGCATATTTGGTCAAAAAACAAATTCTTCCTATATTGGGTGTAGATCATGTAAGAGTTGCAGAAACCGAAGAAGGGTCCCCAGTTAGTGTTTGGGACATGGACACAAAATCCATGCACCAACTCATTCTAAAGCGATGGTCTTCATCCAAGAGCTACTTTCTTATTGGAAAATGGAACCAAGATTTCGTGAGAAGAAGAGATCTAAAGAAAGGTGATGAGATTGGTTTTCATTGGGATCCATATAATTATGTTTTCAATTTTTGTGTTCTTAAACGAGTTATTTCAGAGAATTAATTTGTGTGAATTTTATTTTACTTTCAAATCATTGAGAAAAACACAAAAATTACCTATATATATGCTTATGTAAACTTAATTACAATAATGTTGTTGCAATAGCTTGTACTTCAAACTAATTATTTAGTACCAACTTTCTATATTGCTATTATGAAATCCTCTTATTTTCCTGTTTTCATTATTGTCAATTGCTAATTTCATCCTATAAACCTAGGTTTAGCATGAAGTATATGTGTGTGGTTGAAACTTTAATTCATAATCCATAAATAATGAATGTGTTACATGATGAGATTGTTCAATCCCCACTTTTATTATTATAATAGTACCATGAATATACTAGTAGAGTGATTATACACTACTTCTTGGTTGAAGACGAGGGAACTACATCCATCAAGAATATAATTGATGTATATATAGAATTAATTATACAACTCTTACATGTTATTTGACACATACATGATTACCTTAAAATGTTTAAAATCTTTGAACCTTGTAATTCAATTACAAGTCGTCATGATTTGAAAGGTTATTGTAATAAAGGGCGTACTCACACATCCTTCTTAATTAAATAACATTTTGTAAGGAAGAGACTAATTATATTGTTCAAATATGATTTCTTCTTAGATTTCATATCACATGAAATAACAAATGTGATCCTTGGTTATGATTTCATTTTTAAGCATATAATTGGAGCAACTATTTTAGCTTATATAGTTATACTAACATGCTTTTGTTTAGTGTAAATTGGCTACATGAAATATACATTTAAACCTGACTTTAGATAAATGATTGAATATCAAGAATATGATGAGAAGCTATGCATTCTCTAACCTAAAGCATGAAGAATTTCATCTAATAATAATTGAAATTTGATCATAAATTATCCAAACTTTAGTTTTTGAATAAAGGAATGTTATTTTGGAACCCTAGTTTGAAATTGTATTAACGAACTAACATTTCATAGTTCTTAAAAATTATAATTTATTTACTCTTATTACTCTTAAAAATTATAATTTATTTACTCTTAGTTAAATTGTATCACACTTTTGCAGTGAAATTTCCCCTTCATCAGTTAAGTAGTATTACACTTTTGTAGTGAAATTTCTCCTTCATTTCTAGTTAATGGATAAAGAGCTCTAATACACGTACAGTTCAATAACTTTAGTCTTACTATCAAAAGTTAGCTTAAATCTATACTCTTAGTTCTATCTTCATTTTACCATTTATACTAGAGTTGATGGAAATTAGTTTTGAATATTAATATTTTAAATTTTTTAAGTTTAATTCCAAGAGATAACTTTTTCACTTATCATTCTAGCAAAAATATTATTTTAAGTTAGATTAATAGACTCAAAGAACTATTCCTGGGAAATTATTTTTAATAAACCAACAATGGACCAAGGAATGCGAGTCAACGTTTCAAGAGTTCAAAACTATGCTTGCCACACCACCACTCCTAGCTAAGCCTGACGCCCGTCTTGACCTAATCATCTAATCTGCATTACAAACAAGGTTGTTAGTGCTACTTTGGTGCAAGAGAAAGAGGAACAGTTATTAGTGTACTTCATCAGCAAGGCCCTTCAAGAAGCCAAAACCCGATATCAACTCCTCGAAAAAGCTAGTCTGGCTTTGATTCAAACAACTTGACATCTACGCCATTATTTCCATCGCCATAAAATTGTAGTCAAAACTAATAGCCCAATAGCCAAAGTCCTGCACAAACCCGAGCTGGCAATTAGAATGGTAGCTTGGTCGGTAGAACTATCTCAGTTCGACATCTGATTCAAAAATAGGAGGGCTCATAAAGGCTCAAAGCCTGGTCAATTTCCTTAATGAATTTCACCTAGAAAGAGCACCGTTGCTAGATACCTGGATGCTACATGTGGATGGGTCATCTAATCAGCAAGGCAGTGGAGCAAGAATCATTATAGAAGGACTACGCAACATAATTCTAGCACAATCACTTTGATTTGGCTTCGAAACTTCCAACAATCAAGCCGAGTACAAGGCACTACTCGTGGGTCTGCATCTGGCAAGAGAGCTAGGGGTGACGAGAATTAGTTGTTGGAGCGATTCCTAAATTGTGTCGGAATAGATAAATGGCACATTTCAGGTGAAAGAACCCACTCTACTACGATACTATCATGCCTTTCAGAAGGCCAAATCGAATTTTGAAGAAGTCCAAATACATCACACTTCTAGAGACCTCAACAAAAGAGTCGACCAATTGGAAAGGCTAGCCAGTAGCAAAAAGGTAAGTCAATTGCGTAGTGTAATCCAGCAAGAAGTACCAGTCACAAGCATCACAGAATAGGATTGCTCACAAGCACAACCAGCATCCAAAATTGGATGACAGACATCGTTACCTATCTCTCTACAAGCCACTTGCCGGAAGACCTTGTGGAGGCGAAAAAAGTACAAACCCGAGCAACAAGGTACACCTTGATATCAGGCGATCTGTATAAAAGGGCCATTTCAACCCCGCTTCTTAAATGTCTCACACCAGAACAAGTCCAATATGTCCTTAGGGAAATACATGAAGGAATATGCGGAACCTATTCAGGAAGTTGTACTATGGCAATAAAGGTCCTATGTGTCAGATACTATTGGCCCACCCTAACTGTAGATTGCACCAAGTTTGTTCAAAAATGTCAACCGTGTCAACAACATGGACCCCTCATACACCAGCCAGTAGATGAGCTACACTTCATCACTACACCATGGCCCCTCCTAATTTGGGGGATGGATATCCTAGGGCCATTTCCCCCCGCGAAAGGACAAGTTAAATTCTTCCTTGTGGCAGTAGATCATTTCACTAAGTGGATAGAGGCAGAATCCTTAGCCACTATCTTAGCTAATAATGTTCAAAAGTTTGTATGGAAAAATATAATCACTCATTTTGGTATCCCATACGCCTTGATCACTGATAATGACTTGCAATTCACAGATCTCCACTTCAACAAATTTTTAAAAGGTTTGCACATTAAACACAGGGTAACATTTGTTGAACATCCTTAAAGCAATGGTCAAGCTGAATCTGTGAACAAGGTCATCCTAAAGGAACTAAAAAGGCGATTCGGACAGACGAAAGGAATCTAGGCCGAACAGTTACCAAAAATCCTATTGGCATACCATGTACACCACAAACATCGACCAAAGAGACTCCTTTTCGAATGACATATGGGACTGACACCATGATACCCGTGGAGGTGGGGAACCCTCACTTTGACGACAATAGTTCAGGCAACAAAGCAAGGAAGAAGCACTGAGTGTGGAGTTGGATCTAATTGACGAAATAAGAGACCAAGCACTAGTCAACATGGAGGCTTGCTGAACAAGGTTGGCTAGGAAGTTCAGAACCAAAGTCAAACAATGAGAGTTTCAACCAGGTGACTTGGTTTGGAGAGTCATAGGAGAAGCCAAGAGAAACCGAACACATGGTAAGCTAGCACCCAACTAGGATGGCCCTTTTTGGATATTACACAATCTTAATAATGGAGCGTACAAACTCGAACAACTTACGGGTAGAACCATCCCACGCACGTGGAACGCTTCCCATTTAGAACACTATTAAAACTAAGCTCTTCAATGTATCAAATCGGTGCACTCTTTTCCTACTTTAGGTTTTACCCTCTTAATAGAAAAAAGTAAAAGTGGTTTTAGCGGGGAGGTTTTTAATGAGGCATTGTAGACACCCAATTTCGTCCAGGGGCACACAAACAAGGAAATGGACCTCCACTATGAAGGGAAGGAGCTTCCGAAGTAGGCAAACAACAAGACAGGATATCAGAAGGCCTAAAACCCAAAAAAGGTGGTTTTAGTAGCCCGAAACAGGCTGTTCCAAAATCGGAACGGGCCATTCTGAACCCCGGAACGGGCCGTTCCAATATCAGAACGGGCCATTCCAACGTGACTAAAACACCTAAAGATTGATAGGCTGGAACGGGTTGTTCCAATACCAGAATGGGCCGTTCCAAACAAGTGAAATTTGGAACGGCCCGTTCTAGAAAGGGGAACTTTGTGCTACTTTCCACTCTGGAACGGGCCATTCTGTTTTCAGAACGGGCAGTTCTAGGGTTTGTAATTTGCACATAACGACTGGCCCAGAACGGGCCGTTCCGAATCTAAAATAGGTCGTTCTGGTCCCTTTCTGATTCCTATAAATAGAAGCCTTGGGCACAGTTCTCAGGGAGGCCAGAGAAATTTCGAATAAGACTCCTTTGAGCACGAAAATTCTCTAGATCTCTCCCCTCTATTGTATTTCTTGAGATTTGTGTTGCATCTCTATCTTCTCTCCCCCTCCTATTGTATTTCTTGAGATTTGTGAGGCATACTGTAGTGTGAAACTTCTCCATATTTGAAGATTCAATAGAGCTCGTTTAAGAGGTATTTCAATCAATTTTCTTCTATATCTTTTATTTCTCATCTTTATCTCTATCTTTTATTTATAACAAACGCAATCATGTAGATATTTTAGGGTTAGTCATATAATTTAAATTTTAAATATGTAAATAAATATTAATAAAGGGAATTCAATATTTAATTTATTAATTCTTATCATGTTAACTTCATCATAGGGTACCGATTGAGGGCGCTGTAGGGGTGCTTAATACCTTCCCTACATGTAACCGACCCCCGAACCCAATTCTGGTTATCAAGGCCATTGTTGGATCTTTAAAAACCTTTTCTTTTTCCAATGTTTTGAGTAAAATATTGGTGGCGACTCCATGAACCTATTTTCAAAACCATTAATTAAGAATTAGTCTGGTATCCAGGCATTCTTTAATTAATGAGACTTTTAAAAGGATGTCTAAACCATAGGTCGCGAGATCGGAAATTTTTGGGTTGCGACAGATGGCGACTCCACTGGGGAAGTTTTAAGAGGGTCAGGCCCAAATAAATGATGAATCTAATAAAATAAGAATAATAACTTAAATATCTTTCCCCTTTACCTTGTTTGTTTTCTTTGTTTGGCTTTAATATCTATTTGTTTATTTAAA